AGTGCCTGGCATCCTGGAACTGCAGGTTAGGTTCAGGGGGGGCCTGCACACTGAAAAAAATGATGATGTCTGCAGGCTAGTATCTACCATCCAGAGACCAGGCACTTGCTTACTGCTTTTAGCAGCAAATAAAACCACACTTAGCAGCCCACATAAAGCAGGCCATTGATTATTAATTCCATGCATGAACCCCGAACTAGGGGAACAGGATACACCTTTCGCTGACAAAGGTCATTTTTATTCCATTGGGTGGCTTTGCAAAACCAATCACAGCATTAACTGTGTGGTGTTTCTGTAATAGTGCTGAGGGGGTCGGGGTACACCACGCAACACACTATCCCTGATAATGGAGAAGGGAGCACATACAGCAGACACTGGGCAATCTCCAAAAGAGCCCAGAATCACCCTGATCTGCAACCCCCCAGCACACCCTGGGGACCTTTGGACACCCACCATACCAAGTGAAATAGGAGACAACAGCCACAGATCAGTGTTTTTGAATTCTTTATTTAATTAAATAATAATAATAAAAGGTCAGCAGAAGATTGATTCATGTTGGGCTCTGCAGCTACACCTGGTATCTTAAAACATTCATTACACACCAATATCTGCAAAAAGGGAGCTCACAAACAAAAACTGTAGTGGCACCCAATGGTAAAAAAGACACTACATATCATTCACTGAATTGCCGTGTACAGGTGGCAGATTATTGGCTACACTGTTGCAAGTTGCATCATTGCAAACTAAACTGCATTGGGATGTGGTTTAGTTTGGGATGATACAAACTCATTTAAATCACCAAAAACTCACATACATATAAAGTGTGATGTAAATAAGCCACACGAAGGGAAGTTTTTGTCATGTGTACATCGTCTGGCCATCACATGTACAAGCACTCTGTTATTCCAATCACATCATAGTCCTGTGACTCTGCAAGTCTTCCTGCTTGGTTCCCAGGCTCTGTGCATTTATGTACAAGCACCTAAGGTAACTTGTCACCCCCTCCTGCTTGCTCTTCCTCCAGGTTTCTCGCTTTCCCACTTACATCAGGGCTTTGGTCTCCATCCCTGGTTAACTTAGTTTAAAGCCCTCCTCACCAGGTTAGCGAGCTTATCTGCGAAACAGAAACAGCTACAAAGCTATGTCCTCCTCATCCCACCATAAAGCTCTCCTTTCATTATGTCCAGAAAAAGACTTGTCATTGAATGTCAATGTATGGGGTCCACTACCTATCATACTGACCAAAGCGATCTCATTTTTTGCTCTCTGCTCATTTCTTTCTGCATCCATTTGGTGTCTCATGTTTTATACTTCAGTTGTAAGCTTTTGGGGGCAAGCGCTGGGGCTTGGGGTTTTTTGGTTCTGTATTTGTAAAGTGCCTATCAGAAGGGGGTCCCAGAGTGTTACTGCAATGCAGGGTGTATTTCAGATGCAAGGCCTCCCCTCCTTTCTGCATTTGGAAGGACCACTGGACTTCAGTCCTTAACCTATTAAGTCTGTTCCTTGAAATGTACACGATTTAATCAGCATGAGTGCTGAGTGCTTCAGCTAAGTATCTGACTAAGAAATAAGTAAGCTTCAGATCTCTCCAACTCTTGATACAGGTAACTTGTATGGCCACTAGAGAAACAATGTAAAGCCTTGTGAGTTATGAGTCAGAAGTGCAATGCAAATTCCATAATAGTAGTGTAGCTAAGTCATACTAGGTAGGTGGGATTTTCAAAAATATTCTGGTGGTCTAGCTGTGCACCTGCTGAAGTCCATGGTAGTTTGTGCATCGTCTTCAGTGAAAATAGTGAGGCCAACTTGAGCATGTTTGAAAAATCAACACAGAGTTATGTATATCCAGTTCTGCTTACCTCTATTTTTTTCATCTTTGCGCTAAAGGAACTTAGGTCTACACTTTTGGGCTAAGGATCCAATTCCTTTGCTTGTAGCTCCCCTGGCTTCTCATGGCCTAAGTAGGTTTGGGATGTGAGTTTGTCCGCTCCCTGAAGTTTCAGTACTTTAACAGTACCAGCATGGTAAATCCTATGCAAGGAGGACAATAAGCTATAGTAGGATATCAGATATCTTCTGCCACTATAAAAACCTTAACTGAAATAGTTATGTTGGTACTACTGGTACAAAGACTACATATAGACCCAGCCATAGAGAGACAGACTGTTTCTGGTTCAGAAAGTTTAGCTTATTACCCACTGTCAGTGTTAATGGCATCTCAGGGTACGTCTACACCATGGTGTTGTTGTGCCCCAGATGAGCTGTTCCTGAACACATGCAACACATCCATTCTCTCAAGCACATTCCAAACTCAGAAATAAGACAGTGAGGCTGTTCTTGAGACCTCCATGACTGGTATGGTTGGGAGTGGCTGCTGGTCATGCCCCAGAATGGCCTCTCTTCTCAGTTTGGAGAATGCCTTCAGGAGCAGCTGGGCATGGCATGTTTTGGAATAGCCCAGCCAGGAAGTGCCATTATGCCAGGCACTCCTGAAGGCTCAGTGTGATAGTCAGAGGAGCTTAAGAATACAGAAAAATTCTGAGCTATAAAAAAAGCACAGTAAACGCTGAATAATGAAAACATCTAAAGTGTCTTTAAAGGAATGATTGTGCACTGGAAGTAGCATAGACTGGATAATGTAAGGGCTCTTTGTTTTCCAGCTAAGATCTTAATTTCCCAGGCTTTCAGACATTCCTCACTAAGGGCTAGATTTCCAAAACATTCAAAGCCTACATTTGAGATAAAATTTTCAGAAGAACTTGGCTCCTACATGAGCACTAAAACAAGTGGCCCCCTTTTCAGTACATTGGGTGTCAGTGAAGGCTTAGCCAATGTGGGAGATGCAATGGGCTGAGTGCTGTAGAAAATCTAGACCAGTTGGTGATTCTTAGTTGATATTTTTAATGGGTAGCTGAATATAAAAATAAACCCCCCATGGACTGCTTGTGAGACATTTCTACCCACTTAATCTCTACCAAGATAACACAGTAATTAGAACCAAACAAATGAAAAGCCTTTAATTAATACGTGTAAAACAACTGGTAGATGGAATTTTTCATTTTTATTTAAGAATGTCCTGCAGGGAAATGCAAGTGCAAAAGTTTCTTATCTACCCATTTTGTTTACAGCTTAAAAAATGACAGCACAATTGTTAAACAATAGTGGCAGTCCCAAGCAGGTTTGACAAAAGAGCAGTGCTAAAGCTTGATTTGTAAGATTCTCACTGGTGTCTCATCAGCAGTAGAATATGATTGAGGTGGTTGCATCCAAATGCATATTTTAGAAACAAAGAGTTCTGCTTTGCAGTGTTAAAGGTGCTTTGGTGGGTGGAATCTTTGAACGAGTCATTTCTATGCCACAGCTGTGCAATTTTCAGGTTCATTTTTATGAGCTTCCCTATATGCTAATTTGCAAAATCCAAATGTGGGAAAAACAAAACATGTCTTCTTTTGGCAATCCATTTTGTGTGCTCTTTTAATTACAAGTCACCTTGCCAGCAGAATCCCTGATGCAGATGCTAACAGAGAGCACTTTTGTCAGTACAGCTTATGTTGGGGATCAGCAACCTATAGCTTACAGGTCAGATCAGGCCCAGCAAGAAATTCCATCCGGCCCATGTAGCTGAATGGCAAAGGCAATTCCCCAGAAGGAAGTAACAACCAGATCAGAAGTGCAGCAGTGACATGGAAAGCAGCAGCTGGGTCAGAAGCTCGGCAGGAGAAGTGGCGACAGCCCACCTTTGGAGTGAGCTGTACTAATTTGGCCCACCGCTCCTAAAAGGTTGTCAGTCTGTTTTGGGAAGATGGGGTAGCTATGCTGGCAGAAAAAAAATCATCTTCGCATATGCTGTGTCCCCTCTAGGGTTTTTTTTGCTGATTTAACTCACCAGCATAGTTTTAATGACAGAGGCTTTGTTTGTAACAAACCCAGGGTCAGTGTTATGGTTTACTTCATGCATGCCCAATGTTGGATTCTCTAGGGTAGACAAGGCACCAGTGATTTAGCCACCGTATCATGTATACATAACCAGGGCACATGTGAATGATACCAATTAAAACACCTCAGATGCCTTGCATGCTTTAGGCAGGCAAGGTTCTTTGGATAGATGCGATATCTTTTATTAGGCCAACTGAGTAGTTGGAAAAAAATGTTCTTTGCAAGCTTTCGGGCACAGTCACCCTTCTTCAGACACAGGGAGACTCTGCTGGTCTGAGACTCAAAGGAATGAAAGAAGCTAAAAGTGTGACAAGATGTCAGTGAGAATGTAAATAGGTGGAAATTAGCTTGTGTGCTTTAGATCAGTGTTTCTTAACCCATGGTATGTGTACCCCTGGGGGTACGTGAGACACGGGCAGGGGGTACATGGGTGCTGCATTTTGGTCTTTGCCTGCTCAGGCCGGAAGTTCCAGCCGCTGCCACTCCCACCGTATCCAGTGCGCCAGGGCTTTCACTCCCCAGTGTCAGCGTGCTGGGGGATAGGGAGGGAGGCCCCGCACAGGCTGCTTTGCCCTGGGTCACGATGGAAAACGTGGGACTTGACTCATGGCAGAAAAACCAGAAGTGCCATGGTGGGACTTCTGGTTTCGCTTTTCCCGTGTCCGTCGGCAGGGGGTACCAAAAGTTGAGAACCACTGCTTTAGATTGCCCACAACTGGGGGCTCCTATCAATGACAGGAAAGCAAAGGCAGTCTGAGAAAAGTCTAGTTCAGACAGGGAAGATCTCTCTCCTTGCAAAGTTTAATACAGCTACCGGAGGAGTGCTTGAAAAATGCACACTCAGCAATATCAATTATCTAAGTCACTTAGGTCTCCTTACATTCTTTGTTAAGCTCTCTAATGCTTCCCTCGAACAAAAGCCCTAATATGAAAATAGCTGTGCAAGTGACAATCACACAAGTATCACACAAGGGCAATTTCCCAATTCAGAAAAAAAGTCCCCTCAGGTGGAGAAGCAATTTGAGTGATGAAGGTCATTTAAATGCCATTGTGCACATCCCTTGGAACAATCAACCAGGCTCATTGATAATAGCAGCTGTCAAATTCACCATGCTTGACTACTCACTGCATATAGCGAATGTAGCCACTGCAATTGCTAGCACTAAAAAGGCATACCAGTATAAACAGCCGGCACAGCAGATGCATAAAAAAGGACAAAGATGAAGTGTGTGCAATAGAAATGAAGAGAAGCAGAATTATATGAGTTGTTGCTTTACAACAGGCATTTTGGTAGTTGCTTGCCTTGATTTTTCCATGCTCACATAGCCACCATAATATCATCCAGGGGCTTCCGTGTCAGATCAGGCACAGTGGCGTCTTTGCTGGGATATCCAACAGGGAGCAGCAAGAGTAACTTCTCATTTGCCGAGCGCTGAAGCAGCACCCTGAGACGAGGGCCACAATTCAGAGGGGTAGAAGTCACTGTGACCAGACCCACGTTCTGGAATGAGAGAGGAGGAGGCAGGGACAGGCAGAAACACTTTTAAACAAACAGACCAACATAAAATCCTTACTCCCGAGTCTGTGACTGCCTCTTCATTCCTACAATAATGTCCACTGTACAATAATGTTCATTGACCACCATTCCTACAATAATGCCCATACTGTCCATCAGGCTTTAGAACTCAACTTTATTTTACTGATAGTCTTAGCAACAACAAAGTAGGTTTCCTATCATACTTAACGCAAAGCTTGGGGGTTCCTGCAAACACAGCATATTTGAGGATTTGGGGAGGCAGAAATTCAACATTCAGAATACTGTTCTGTCCCCTCGACATTCCAACAGCTGCATAAAGGGCCCCACGGGAAGAGCCAGGGGACAGGAAAGGATTTTCCTAGTGATGAAGCTACAAAGACAGTAGCCTCACAGGTCCCACTATGTTGGGGTGGGGGACAGGAGAGGAGCCTGCCTGAAGCAGCTATTGTAGTGGGGCTTTTGTAAAGAAACTGTCTTTCAAGGAACACAGTCTGGGACACAGTGGTGTAACTACCAGGATTTGTGCCCTGGGCAGCAGGGGCTGGGCCAGTGGCATTAGCTGCTGTTCTTGCACCTCCTCTAAGTGGGCACCCAGGGCTGGTGCCCCAGGTGCCCACCCCTCCTTATGCTACTGTTATACTACTGGAGTAGCAAAACTACTGGAACTACTGGAGTAGTTTACCCTATTTCTGAGTCTGGTTGGTGCAGCTCCCACAGCGAAGTGTTGTGTACAGGCTAATTAGTGCAGCTGAGGTACAGGTGAAGCGTAACATGCAGATGTAGACCGCAGCTACCTCCTGAACCAGAAGCAGCAGTGCTACATTCCCGTGGTACTGTACCCAACCTAATCATCTCACCTGTCACAAGAGCTACTTAGCACAGCTGCATTCAAGCAGCACTGAGAGGCAGGGCTAACAAACCTGGGCATGGTGCTCCACGAACATGGCTATGCTGCTTCCAGGTCAGGAGGAAACTGCATTTTCACAACAGAGAGCATCAAGCTGCATCCTCTTAGCAGACTCCATAGGATGCTGCCTCGATCTGATCCAGAATTATTTATTTTTTTCCAAATTTGGAACAAAAGTCCCATGTTTGGGGAGCTGAAATCTGGAGCTGTTCCAGGATATCTGGCATGTTCTGTTACTTTAGCATTCTGTGCTACGCCACCGCTCAAAGACAGTGATGAGGAGGGTGCTGGGAGTTAGAGCCGCTTGCAGGATTGATCCGATTTACACAGGGCCCATCTCAGTGCCTGCAGCAAGTGCAACAAAGGGGGCCTCAAGTTGCCACCCTCTCTATAGGCAGTACTCCATAGCCAGTGCTGTGCCTCTCAAGAGGTGTGACAACATTTTCCCCTTAGGAACAGCTTGTCACCTGCTATGAGTATGCACTTTATTTTGTTTGGATTTTACAGAAAAACAAAGACATTCATTCAGACCAGTCACCTGTTGCCCAGTCTGCCAATGACAACTCCCACAAGAAAACAGGGCAACATGACAAATGCTAAGGGGCAAACATAACCAAGAGATGAGCATGCAGCTCTCCCCGATTCAGTGGGGTTTCTGCCTGAGGATTTAAGGCAGTGCATGGCCTTCTATTTAATCTGCTAAGCATTTGGGGAACCTTTGGGATGAACGGAGATCTATTAAATATGTAGGAGTGCCAGTTTCATAACATTTTCACACGCTGAGCTTCTCGCATCCAGCAGTCTGCCCAGCACTCGTAGCTCTTGCTCAGTTCATAGTCATGGAGCCCAGCGCTCCATGACTCTTGCTCAGTTGACAGGACTCTATAGCACTCAACCCTACTCGACAGTCTTGTCAGCAACTATGAGCTGAGCAAGAGTCACAGAGGAGGGAGCACCACTGCTGAGCTACAAGGACCATCAGGTATCTGTCTGCATAAAGGCCCAGGGAGGGATGATGGAAGGAGGAAGAGTGGAGCCTAAAGAGACCGAGACCTAATGACTAGCTAGGAACAAGACAGTACAACCTTTGGGGCTTAGGATAGCTGCAAATAACTGACTGCAAGGACTCCTAAAGGAACTGAAGAGCAGGAGGTCTGTGGAAAGAGTAGAGCTCCATGCTGGTGGGTGGCCCAAGGTGATGGCTCTTCTCCCTTCTCTTTTAGCCACATCCCCAGTGTGCCCTCTTCCTACTCAAGTACTGGGAAGGGAAGTGGACAGCTACAGAGGAGTGGCACACCAGTGGCACATTTCAGTCACATGGACTGCTTCCTCCTCAGCTCTGCACCTGGGAAGATTTTCCTTTGATACAACCACCAGACATCAAAAAGGGCACAAAGGGGAAAGACTTATTTCAATAGTAATAAGTTGGTTCAGTGTAAGCGCCATTTCCCTGCCCCTGTTATAGTGATATAATACCCAGGAAACCTTGACTATTCAAATATTTCTCTGTGTGTATTAGAGATAATAAAATGAATTAAATGTTGGGAGATTAATCAGATTATCTGATTGCCCAGTGTAAAACATATGCAGTTTCATATGCCTTATACATGAATTCATCTTCAGAAATGCTTTGAACAAAATGAGTGAAACTGCCTTGCCTACTAAGTGACAAGCAGGCTTCCTTTTTTTTTGGCAGTGCTGTGTCCTATAACACTAAAGATGATCTCAGAGCAGTGATCCTTAAAGTATTTTCTAGGGATTAATGAAAGGAAGGTGTTAATAGTATTATGGTTTATGATTATCAGACAGCTACTTGAGAATCTTAGCTCTGCCATTTGTGTAATGCAACAGCTATGTGTGCTGTATGTGCCAGGATCTACTCTCTAAAAGGAGGTGCAGGCAACATGAGACACATAGCTTTTCTTACTGTTAACCAATATTAAAGGAAGATCGGATTTATCTTTTTGGACCTAAGCCTCTTCATAATGGGCAGAGCATTTTTTCAGTACAAATGTGTACTGGCAATATAGGAGCATTCAAAGCTTCAAGTTTTCATTCTAGTGATTCTATTAATTTTTTGAATAGTAATGTCAAACTTTTTCATACCTCCCATAAGACTTGGGTTTAGTCCCAGTTTGGGACTAAGGTTCAGTTTTGTTATTTTATTCAAAGCAATTCATCCATGCCTTGTCTAAACCCAACCCAGCTGTGTGGCAAACCACTGACATACCTGCAGTGCAGCCAGAAGGATACCACAGGCAATAGAAACACTGATCTCATTGTAGTAATGGGTCTTCTTTTTGCCATTTGGAAGTCTCCCATACACCTGCTTAAAAATGAGGATCAGATAGGGAGCTGTATCCAGGTATTCTTTGATCCAATTTGTTCTGAAAAAAGGTTGTTGTTAAGACATATATTTATTTGTTGCCTAATTCTTTTCACTACCTCACAAAATATTTGCATTGGCCATAAAGATTTGGGAAAAGGGTGCAACAGTTACGATGATGGAGCTCTTAAAGACAAAAAAAACCTTACCACAAATTATTGTTAATGAACATTTTTAAATTTTAATAAAATATTAAATGTACTGATATTACTAATAATATTTTATTTAAAACGTTGAGTGTTTTTTTTTTTACAGAAATAGACCTGAACTAGAGGCCTAAATCTTAGCACATGCGGACAATATGGATAAAAGACTTGGGTTTTTTTCCAGCTCTGTAGTGTTGTTGTACGGAAATGTAATACAGATCTATCTTTTCTTACCTGTGGCCTGGACTCAGGGCTCTTGCCTTCAGGCATCAAGAAAAAAGGAAGTGACTTAATCTTTCAAAGCAAAATACTGTAATTCCTACTGCAATGCTTATTTTCAGTCTATCAAGATGGGAATTCCTGACACAGCTTGAAAACAACCTTGTCTAGGTTGTGCACACAAATACAACCATCCACAGAGGCACAGCTGGGCAACTCCATGCTCAAAGCAGCCATGCAGCACCTAGGGCAGTGCCAGCTGCCATGAATTTCATTGAGTGGCATGATCAGCCACCACTGTGGTCATGGCTATTTTTGAGCTCCTGCACAAAGGTAGTACCTGGGGGCTGTCCTGTCTGCTCCTCCACAGTTACGCTTATAGTCATAGAGCCATAAAGAAGTAAGGCTGAAAGGAACCTCCAAAGGACATCCAGTCCAAAACCCCACCTGAGGCAGGGCCATCCCTATACAACTCAACCCATGCAAACCATAATCTAAACTCTACATAAGACTACCATCAACTCTGAAACAGCACAAGATCTAACACTCTAACCTGTCACACAGGTTTAACAGGGGAACCACAGCAGCCAATGTCCTGCATAAAATGTTGTGAATATATGCTCAAGAGGTCCCAGGTAAAGGGCCAGCAACCCCACTACAGAGGAAGGCAAAACTGCCCACATTCCCTATCAATCTGACCATGAGATATAATTCCTTCCTGACCCACAAATATGGCAATCAGCCTGACCCTCAGTAGAGGGGCAAGACCCTCTAGCCAGGAACCTCCAGCTTTGCTCCCAGCAGGAACATTGGCACAAGCCAGTCAAGTCCCCAGCCTTGGTTGTAGCCAACACCTAATGCCTCTGGGAGGACTTATAAATACCCTGACATATATAACAGAAAAGAGGGGGGAGGGCAGAGGCAGCCAAAAATGCCCAGAAGCACAGGAAATACCATGGTAGAACATAGCCATTGCTATGCCTAGATCATCCCCAGCCAGTGGCTGTCCAACCTTTTCTTAAACACTTTCCATGATGGAGCAATGGTCATCCAACCTAGCTCATTGACCTGTTTTTCAGCCATTTTTACTACAGTGACATTGGTTTCAGGAGTGGTATTATAGGAACTCACAAAACAAGCAAGGATTTTTATTGGTGCTATTTGTGAAGAGATAGTATATGTAATACCATCTTATGCACATATTCCAATCTCATTATTATGCAGAAAGAGCTATATTTTAATTATTTATATAGCTCCCATATACTCTGGTTTTGTACCAGAACAATAAATACTATTGATATGAATAAATAAAAGCTATAAATGCTATTAGCAAAGAGGTGGAGCATATGGAACTGCTGGCCTCTGATCCTAAATGCTTAATTTGATATGCTGCAAAAGCTCCATTGATTTCAGGGTGTTTCCTCACCTCTATAAAGCTAAGGGTTCATGCAAGTCTTTACCTTGAATCATGTGAGCTAGATTATGGAAAATCTCTGCCCCCAAAAGGAGGAATTTAATCCTTTCAGTTATGGAATTGAAACAGCCACTCTATGAAGAAGTAGCCTGGTGGAAGAAGCTACCATGATCTCAGCTGCCTTCTTAGCTCTATTGAAATGGGGTAGAATCTAAGGAGGGGTTAATTTCTTCTCTTTTGGAAAATCCCCTGGAAAATTAGGAATATTTAAAGATCCTTGGGCAAAAATATTTTAAAGCAAATATTTGTATTTGATTCAAAAAGCTTCTTTGTTTTCCCTTAAAATAAATGAAAGAAAAGTAGTAGTTAGAATACATTTTCTGAGCAAACACAGCTGACAAGTTTTCAGTTATGAGTTTACTTTTTCAAGATTTTCAGAAGCAACTAAGCACTTTTGGTGTCTCGACATTTGTCTTTCTAACTTTCATTACTTTTTGCTGTTGTCTGCTCACCCTATTTTCCAAATCAGGCTCTTTTTGGGCATGTCCAGATGAGAACTCATATGTTTCCCTGGAGACAAAGAGCAGGGGCACATAGTTGTGCTGCTGCTACTTGTCCCTAGAGAATGCTCATGCATGCATGCTCTGACATGTGGCGAGTTGCCCTGGGTGGAGTAGAGGAGGCTGGGGCCAGCACCTGGGCTGGCCCAGCAGCTTTACCTGGGGTCCTGGGGGCCTAGTGTTGCTGCAGCAGCAGTAATCCGGGTGCATGGAGCCTGGTTGGCAGCTGGAATGTGGCTCTGGCCAGCCAGGCTCTGGTTTCAGGTGGTGCATGCTGCTGCCATGTGCACTGCCCTGCTTTTTTCTGTCACAGGTTTTTTTAACACTGGGATTTTCCAGTGTCAAAAAAACCCACCACACTGCAAATCAGCAGCATGATAAATGCCTGCATGTGTGGTTTGTGGCACTGCAGATGGGTCTGTAGCACTGCAAACTGTATGTGCGCACTCATCTGCATGTGCCCTTTATGTCCTCTGATTTGTCATCATGTTGAAAAATCTTGGCTGCTTTTTGTATTGATTTTTGTACCTCAGTCTTTTTAGGTCATGCACCCATTTGTCTCCCATCCTTTTCCTGTAGTTTACTTCTTCTTCCTCCTCGATGATCTCCCGAATTTTATGTTTTATTTCTGGATCATGCACTACTACAAAAGTCCAAGGTTCAGTGTGTGCTCCACTGGGAGAAGTTCCTGCATACAGGTAACAAATAGTAAAATCACTCAACAAAAGGGTAGCAAAAATGAGGCACAAAATCATCATTCTGTTTACTAAAGGACTGCAAAGCAGAACAACAAGAAATTAGGCTGACCAATAAGAGCGAATGGACTCAGTCCCACTGATGCTGAAAGTCTCATTTATTTTTCTGTGGAAAAAAGTATTAAGTGCTACTCACTACTGGCTATCCTATTTAATTCTTGTTCAGATTTCTGTCATAATATGAGAAGCAAGGAATTAGAACTTTTTAATTTAATACATTTAAGGTCTGTCTAAGCATCATACAGTAAGTAATATTAATGCAGAGCAATAAAATCAAAGCAAAATACTAAATGAACTAAATATGCAGCTGAGTCAAAGGATCTGGCTGAAGGGCCCTCAGGCAGCCAAACCTAGAAGCCAAAATAAATCAGGTGCCACACGATTAAAGAAGGACACTGCTGTGCAGAAGTCTGCTAAGTAGCATTCAGTTTAACTTGACAGCTCCAAAAGCAGCTGACACATGTAGGTACATATTACATTTGAACCTCGCCCCTCATATGTGAAGCTGGCTAAAAAGGACTAAGGTGGAGAATTTTGCTAGCTGAATGGACTCTGCTTGTTTCCTTTGAAAAATAAATATTTTAACCACTTGCAGGTCTTAGAAATGAATGTTCATTTATCTATGCGCTGACTTTAATTTGAGATGTACTATGAACAGGCTACTTAAAGACATGGCTGTCTTTCATATTAAATACAGTTTATCAAGTACTTAATTTTTCCTCAGCTTGAGACCATAATTGCAGGTGTTTACATTTTCCCTTTTTTATATTTCTCAGAACTCTTTTTCTAGATTAGGAGATGCTTTATGTGCATTCCAGGCATATGCATATGCACTTTGTTGCATTTGACAAAACATGTTTAGCTTCTTAATGATTGCCACCTAACCAGGAGACAAAAGAGGCTCATGCCATGCAGGTATAGCAACAAAATGGCTTACTGTGTTTTAAAGGGGAAACAACCGAAAGCAAATGACTGCTGGAATCTTTGTATGAGTATGCCCACCAAGTCCTTTAAATTTCTTAATGCTGCTTTCAAATGTTATATTTTACTAACAATAGCCAGCTTGTAGAGTGACAGAAGTAATGCAGGTCCAGTTCGTGGATGAGTACAGTCAATGCTGTTGGAGATGACTTTGGGCCTGGACAGTACAATAAAAGTCTGGGGTACATAAATCCTGGAAAAAACCCTAAAATTTAATTTCTGAGACGGTAGCTTAGCCCACAGTGAAAATGGGGTAGCTGTGTTATATATATCACACAGTAAGAACAGACAGATGTGCAGTTACTGTGGAAAGAATAGTGCACTACAAGTTTACAGCCTCGCTTACCTCATAGTATCTTCTCTGGGTGCCAACAGCCAGACTCAGTCAAATGACTTTGGTCATTTGGGGCCCTTGTACATGTGATGGGGTTTAGTTCTTAAGGGGTGCTTGTACACATCACGAAATTGGCCTTTTAAGTGGGTTAATTGCCCTTTTTTACTGGTTTAATGGTGTCACAGTTTACACCTGTGGCAGTGTATTATGTTTCAATTTCATCACGCTGTACACATCTGGCAGTGTATTTCTATTTAAATGACTTTGTTACATAGAAAAGTAAAACCCATCCAAAGTTTTTTAGTTTGCTATGTGATAAATTGCAGTGATACATCCAGAGAAGGCAGCTGGGACAGTCCATGGGCACTGAAAGCCCAGGTGTGCTCAGGGAAGCTCGGGGTTGGTGGGCTTTCAGCACCCTGCGCACAATGCCCCCACCTTCTCCAGCCACCAGCACACCCTGCCACCTTTCTGCACTACCTCAGGGGCAAGCCAGCCCGTTCTTGGGCAGTCCCAGGTGGCAGGAAGGTGCAGGGACAGTGCATGGAGCACTGGAAGTCCACCAAGCCTGAGTTTCCCTGGGCTTCCAGCACCCTGTGCACCATTGGATTGGGCCAGGTGCTGCCTGTGACCTGGGGCAGCACCTGCCCACTAACAGGCTAACCAGGCAGCCCCGGGGGGCGTTACTGCCTCGGAGGAAAGCACCAGGCCCCACTGCAGCTCAGGGGCTTTGCGACTCAGCAGCAGCTCATGTGGACAGGCTCTGCCAAGGCAAGAGAAACAGTGGCGAGGGGCCTGCTTTTTTTTTTCCAGCGGAGCCTACCCACCTCTCTTGCAGCTGGGGAGTGAGCTGCCAGCGGGCCCTGAGCTGCAGGGGATCCTCTGCAGGGGGTCCTCTGCAGTGGTGATGCCCCGGGCAACACCCGCCTGCTAGCAGGTGGCTCCAGGGGGCACCACTGCCATGGAGAGAAGGACCGGGCCCCCCACAGCTCAGGGCCTGCTGGCAGCTCGTCCCCGGCTGCTGGTGGGCAGGCTCCGGGGGGAAAAAAAAAGGGATCAGAGATTGGGTCCCTTGCTGCTTTTTCTTTTTTTTTCTGGTGGAGCCTGCCTGCAGCCGGAGGGGTGAGCTGCCGGTGGGCCATCATTGTTCCATACCAGTGACAGAAGTCCCTAAATTGAAATGGTGGGTTTTTAATTGACACAATGATGGAAAAATAAGTTCCACAATTTCCACAGTGATGGAAAAATAAAACCCACCATTGGAGCTGGAGTACTGTGTGCAGTTTTGAGCACCGCACTTCAAGAGGGATGCGGAGAATCTTGAGAAGGTTCAGAGAAGGGTCACTCATATGGTCAGAGGCCTGCAGGCAAGGCCCTATGAGGAGAGACTGAGGGACCTAGATCTCTTTAGCCTTCACAAGAGAAGGCTGAGGAATGATCTTGTAGCTGCCTATAAATTCATCAGGAGAGGGCAGCAGGGAATAGGAGATGCTCTATTTACTAGGGCACCCCCTAGAGTAATTAGGAACAGTGACCACAAATTGATGGAGAGCAGCAGATTTAGGTTGGACATTAGAAAGAACTTCTTCAAAGTAAGGGCTGCCAGAATCTGGAATGGGCTTCCAAGGGAGGTGGTGCTCTCCCCTACCTTGTGGGTCTTCAAGAGGAGACTGGACAAGCACCTAGCTGAAGTCGTCTGACCCCAGCACTCTCTCTTTCCTGCCCAGGGCAGGGGGTCAGACTCGATGACCTACTGAGGTCCCTTCCAACCCTAACATCTATGAATCTATGAATTTATGGAGAACAAAACCCCCATCACTTGTACAAGTGGCCCAGGGTTGCATTCTATGCCTCCTAAATTGAAACGGTGGGTTTTATTTTTCCATCACTGTTTACATGTCATTGGTCTGAAATCTCATGAAATGCTCAGTGCGCTATTCACAGTAAATTACTGCAGGGGGCGCCACATAACAACCCACCCTGCTGATCTCTTCATACTAAATTACAGCAGGGAGCACTGCACACTGCTAATCCCCACTACAGACTGGTGATGTCTATAGTTCACAGTTCACTGATATGTAACCAAAAGTGGTTAATTAATTTAATGAATTTTATTGTGTCATTTCATTAATTCAATTTTTTTTTACACATTTTTAAATTGTTCTGAATTTTTTACATCAATATTTTAAGATTTTATTCTTATTTTATTCTTATTCTTTTCATCCCTATCTTTATTTTCATACTTATTTTTTATTTTCCTATTTCTATGTCATCAAGCAAGCTTTATTTCATGTGTAAATCCACTTGTTTTTTTTTTATTTCACTCAACCACCTCTAGGACCAGGGCACTGAAATTCTCTGAGCACTTATAATATTCACATAAATACAGATACAATGTTTAATTTCAAAATTAATTTAAGTAAAACATTTTGAAAAACTAAAGAAAAGAAATAAAACATTTTATTTTGTGTCAAATGAAATGATTCGTTTGATTTTTTAATTTTATTTTTTTAATTTATTTTTTGTTTGCTACAATTTTTTTTTTTTGATTTTTCAGAACTGCAAGCAAACCAAGAAGAATCAGTTATTCACATGGCTCTTGGGATGATAACTTTTCCCTCGCCCCACCCTTCCTGAAACCTCATTCAGTGCTGATTCAACAGGCTGGCATTTAAACCTGGAAAGATACCGTCCATGCTCTCAATTCTTATTCCCTAAGTGTTCCCCATCCATATTGCTCTTATCCTATGTGGTTGAGCATCAGTCCTAAACTTGTGTCATTCTCAAGAACCATTCATCCAGTATTGTACCTGCTGTTTTGATGACGTTATCAATAACCTCCTTGGGGACTGGCTCATCACTTATAAATCTGACAGTCCGCCTCTTATTGAGAAGCTCATAAAATTCCTTTGACCTTTTAATCATTTCATCTTCAGAATAGCGCTCGGCAGAGAAAGGGACATGTGCAATGTTTTCATCTAATCCTTGCCACTCCTCATCAATGTCTGCAAAAAAGAAGAAAAATTCAGTCTGCGCTTTTCGGATTAATTTCTTGTAGGAAGCCATTAATATATTTGACATTAATCACTGTACTATATTTGAACCCAAATTTGCAGCTGTACAGTAGGCCTGTGCAAAGCGTCTGGTATTCGCTTCAGATTCAGCCAATTCGGGGGACAGGGATTCGAATCACTGTCCCAAATCAATTCGGTCAAATCTGATTTGGAGATTCAGCTGCAGCTGAATTGGCTGAATCTCTGAATCGTCCCCATCCCCTCCCTTCCCCCCCTCCCCCCACCTGCTCTCAATGCCTGCCCCATCTGCTCTCCCAGCCCTTTAAAAAGAAGCCTGAAGTCACCGGCTGCTGCCAGGCAGCGGGGTGATCCCCACTGCCCCCCACTGCCCTGCGGTGCAGGGGGGGCTCTGCCACAAGCCCCCAGGAGCCCCAAGGCTGCTGCAGCAACCGGTGAGTGGGAGCTTTTAATTTTTTAAAGGGACGGGAGCTGGGGTAGGGTGGGGCAGCCATAGTGGGGCTGGGAGAGTGGGTGGTGGTTGGGGGGCTTGTGGCAGAGCCCCCCATGCAGCACGGGGCAATGGGAGGCAGCAGGGATCACCCCCACACCTCACAGCAGCCAGTGAGTAGGGGCAACTCAGGGGGCTGGGGGAGCAGGCAGGGGACAGGGCCTGGCAGGGGTCCCCCCATGATCCCCTCCCCACTCCTCCAGCTCCCCCTCCCCCTACTTGCCAGCATGGAGTTTGGGTCCAGCTCCCTCCTGCAGCGAGCAGGGACTGCCCAAATTGCCGAAGTTCTCTGAATCTTTTCCGAATCGATTTGCAGCGCTTCAAATTGATTCAGACCTTTTAAGTGGTCTCCTGATTCGATTTGTATTTGGAGATTCGGTCACTGAACTGGGCCAAATCTCCTCCAAATCGAATCAGCACCCGAAGCTTTGCACAGCCCTACTGTACAGCACTGGCAAGTCAGAATTCCCTAGTTTCCAGATGACCAAGCTTTAATTTATACCTCAGGTTATAGCAACCACTGAATAAATACACTTTAAAACAAATAATCAGCAGCATCCTAGCAGCCTAGGTTGTTAACATGCTCTAATCATTTCTCAGCTGTGTTACCCTTCAATATATCATAGGCTGATTGAAGTGCAGTAAGCCATCTGCAAAACTGGAGGCATTTTTACACATCCTCCAGGAGTGTAGTGGAGGGGAGTCACTCTAATTAAAGTGCCTTGAGCATCTTGTGTATCAGGGTCCCTGCACTCCAAAATGGTGGTAGGGGCACTTTATCTAAAACTCATTGAATGAGCTTTAGTTAAAGCACCCTTGCCACCATTTTGAAGAGCGGGGACGCTGATACACAAGATATAGAGGCTGGCTGGAGTGTGGCAATTGCCATGCTCCAGCAGACTCAATTCACCGAGTCTGCTCCAATGTGTTGTAATTACAGTGTGTCAGAGCATCTTCCTAGCTCGTGTATAAGCATCCTGGGTTCCAAAAAGTTGTGGGGAAAAGGCCAAATGTTACTCGCTGACTAAAAAAAAAGTAAAATGAGAGTGCTTTCCTTCTAAAACAAACAGCTAAGAAATCAATCGAATTAACAAAATCCAGGGAAGGGCTACTTTTTTAAGAAGTATGACATTTCCATTGGGGGTTGACAGTTGGTTTCCTCAATATCCATGTCTCCTTTCAAAGATGTTACAATGCAGAGCTCAGTTCAAACTGTGTGTATTGACAGATGTAGAAATTATACCGTACTAAAAGCAGTGGTCAGTTACTCCACGATGTTCAGTCTGTCCACCCAATTCCATGGCAAGTGAAATCTAAATTGTCGCAACTTGTTTCAAACAGGGGTAAACTGGTCATACTTAGCTTTCACTAACCATGGGACAGAAGTGGGCACACAAAAAGGTTATTATGGAGGTTGTAAGCTCCTTAGTTTGATAGAATATATTTATGTGTCCACGTGTTTTGGAGTTAAGTTCTGTGATTTCACAATGCTGTAAGTATGAGACAGGACACAGGAAAGGGAAGAGGGGCATCCACACCTGGGATAAGTCCACAGTCAATGTGAGTTCCTGATGATGGTCTCTCTTCATTCCTCTCTCCTTGTAAAAAGCTTTAACTGTTGCCACATTTCACTGAAACATGTTCCTTCATTTTCCACACTATAATTTTTTTCTTCATAAAATTCAACTTGTTGGTTCCTTCTACCCTGTGCTTCCCTCGGCTAGGTATAGACATTGAAAATGCCCCAGGTGGGATTGATCTAAGTTGCACAGTTTTCTATAAGCAGCGTAGTATAGATGGGTAGCAAACAGAAAACAATAGCCCTTTGCTGGAGGCACAAATCTTAAACTGGGTTCCGTCATTTTTAAAACACTCTATGTGTGCTGAACTTCTGTTCTGTTATGCGTATAGACTGGTTTCCAATCAATTAGACCGGTAAAAATGTAATTTCTGTACCTGGCCCTAGAGTTGAAGGGTTTTAAGGATAACACCCTTTCTTTTTTCCAGTTTTTACGTCTGGTGAAACTCATTTAGATTTTACCTACTGACTATTCAACAATGCTGTAGCTGGCAAAAATACAAATAGCTCTGGAAACTGGGATATTTTCTTCCTAATCTTATTGTCATTATGTTATTATTCCAAAAACAGAAGTAGCCTCAAATGTACAGCTGTATAATTTTTAAGAAATATAAACAGAATTATCTCTTCTTTTTAGTATATGCAGTTGTCTTGGAGACCAGTACAATAATTTCACATTTCATAAACAGATTAGTAAAATGTTTCCAAGGATGGACCTTCTTGTAAGAGGAATTACAGTCTATTCAATTTCACACTTAAGAGTCTGAACAAAGACATAGTGGCTATTAGACTATTTGCATTTCGTTCTGCATACAAAGACGTCACCTGAATATCGGTCCCTTTTAACATTTAATGACTTCGTTACCACCCTCATTTGTTGTTTACAAGGCATTGGCTCTAGGGCAGTGATTCTCAGCCGGGGTGCCATGGCACTTTGGGGTGCTGTGAAATTCTTTGAAGGGTGCCACAAGGTGTGAAGAGATTTGAAGGGTGCCCCAAGGTGCAAGGAGATAAGCAGATAAGAGCAGGCTTGAAATTGTCCACGCCTGGCTGATCCTTTACCCCCACTGCCTGGTCTTTTTGCAAGGAGATCAGCACTAGTATATCAATTAGTTTTTGAAACTGGGTGCCACTCAATTCACAAAAGTTATAGAGGGGTGTGTTGAGTCTAATGTAGGCTGATTTAAGCCCAAGAAGGTTGATAACCACTGCTCCAGGGCAATATCATAAGGTAATAGATTGCAACATATTTTTTCAGGACCATGATTCTATCCCCTGTGAAAAAGTAAAACTAGATGTCCAAGAGAGAACGTGCATCCTTTCAGTCTGCCCCAACATTTTGTGGTGCATTAGGGGCACTTTTAATCCAGGAGGCCCAGTTCAGCAATCTTGTGCCCTTCTCCTTCAGATGTTTCATATTGGTACAGCTACTCTTTACGGTTCTGCAAGGGAAACCCCCACGGATGACAAAATTGCCGTTTCCTGGTTCCACAGAATTCCCTTCAGCTTTTGATGAGATATAAACTACTCTAAATTATTATTTTCTCTCTCTTACAAGCCTCAGGAAAAAACCTGGCAGCCTGCCAAAACAGTAAATAATACAAACACGCTAAAAGCTTGAGGCGATGCTGTTATGGGAGTAGCAGCACCAGGGAGATGTCAGAACAGCTGGAAGGGAGAGAAAAGAGGGAGAGACAAGCACAGAAGAGAACATGACACAAAGACAGAAACATTTTTAGGTAACCTAGAACCACTTCATATAACTTGCAGAAGCAATATGTAACCAGTAAGAGTATATGCCATTGAGGGCCCTGCTACAGGTTCAAATGAAAGCTGGAGAGAAACCAGCTACAGAGTTGTTACACATTTTCCAGCGCTAACTTATAGCTGTTTGGCTCTTTTTACAGCAGTAATGTCACTTTTCTGGTGTGATAATTACTTTGCAGGTGTGGCTAGTCGAAATGTATTGCACAGTTGACCAGTTAATTGTGTGATAATTACTTTGCACTTGCAGCTGGTCTAAATTCATGGTGTGATTAACCAGTTAATTGCCTAATATATGTAGTGTTTAGCAAGGGCCTGAGAGATTTCACGGCACCTTTGTCTAATTTTACTAGTACCCTTTTGCTGCATTCACATCTTACAAGCACATGTACACTGCACACACCCTCAGACCCCTTGACCTGATGTAGCAGGAATCAGTAGGGCTCACCAGAGCACATACTGCTACCTTAAGTCTAACAGCTACAGCTGTTCCATACAACTTTTAATGAAGTCCTGTGTACCTGAAGACAGAATGTGGTCCAAAGCCTGCATTTAGTTTCCAACGTTATTCTAAATAAAATCAGATTGGCTTATTTATGGAAGTAATAAGTCAGATTGTACTGACTGCTATTACTGCAACACAGAGACATATGAACACTCTACAAAGCTCATTCCTATCAGTTTCTCTGTTGTGATCAAATAAACTGAAATGGATTTGGGGAGAAAATCATAGCAATATCCAACTGAAAATTAGCAAAGGGCCCAGACACATCCCTATTCTCTCATTATTTGCTTTCTTACAATGAGGATTATTTGGAGTACAGAATGAAAGAAACATGACAGAATGTACTGCACTTTCTATGAAGCCAATTGTTGGAGGAGACCCACCAGTCTGACCTTGGCTCCAAAGCAAATCAATGAACAAACACCCACTTAAGTCATCATTCTTTATAGTACTATTGCAGAACTAGCAAAAAACTTATTAATTGAAAAGAGAACTATACTAATGTGTAAGCTATTGAAAGGCATAAAAGCAGCCATTAGTAAATGTGTTTCAAGTGACAGAAGACTGGGGGAAAAACTTGTGTAACCTTCTCCTCTAATTTTAGTTCATGGAAACGGGAAAATGGAGATATAATG